TCCCTCCCCTCCCCTCCCCACCCCCCACCCCATTTTAATAAAGTATGTATTATAAAGATGAAATTTTTTTTTTAGTTTTTCCAAGCTTTTCTTTTTTCTTTTTCCTCTTTATTATTTTGAAAAATATATTTATATACATATTATATAAAAAAAATAAAAATGTTTTTGAACGCCGAGGAGAAAAAATTTATTACAACGCCTGCCGTTCGTTCGTAAAAAAAGGAAGGGTGAGGAGGGAGGGGGAAAAGGGAGGGAAAGGGGATAAGGGATGGAAGAAGGAAAAATGGATAGTAAGAAGGTTACCCAGGATCGTAGAAAATTAGGTAAAGAAGATGAGTTGAAAAAAAATTGGGGGGAGGGAGAGGGTGTAGGAGATGAGAAGAAAATAAAATTCTGCTTACACTTTCCCTCGTACTCAAATTCTTCTTCCACGTTCAAAAAAAAAAAAAAATGAATCCCTTTAGTTTGAGTTTTCAGTTATAAAATATGACTACTATTACTTTATAAGAATGAGGCAATATATAAACTGGAAAATCTAATAAGCCTGACATTTTTTAAGATCGATAGAACCATAAATATTGAAAAGAAGAGGAAACGTCTGAAGAGGTTAAAGAGAGAGAGAGAGAGAGAGAGGTGCGAAGGGTTCAAGGGTCGAAGGGTTGAAAGGATGGAAAAAAAAAGAAAAAAAGGTGAACAATTTTTACTTCCTTTTATCATTCATTCATCTTTAGGGAGTCATTTTGAATAAGACACAAAAGGTTAAGAAAAAGGTTCACCACCACCACCATGACCTTTTACCTCTCTCCTCGCGATTTATAATCAGAAAAAATATTAAGTGAAATCTGTCTTCTGCTTTTTTTTTCGATTATGAATGTAAAAAAAAAAAAAAATTTGACTTTTGACCACCGTTCTCCTGTTTTTTTTTCTGACGTGACACATCTTCATCCCCTTTTTCCGCCTACATAATTTCCTTTTCTGTCTTTTTCTGACCCGAAGACGAAAAAGGGGAGGGGAGGTAAAGGAGGGGGGTTGAAGGGTAGGAAAAGGAAAAGTAATACGTTCTTTCGACAGAAAATAAATTGCGGTGCCGAACGGTTTTGAGATTTATGGCATTTGCCTTGTTGTTCTTGACATTTCTCTTGTAATTTTTTTTTCCTTTTTCTCACCACCACCACCCCTACCACCCTCTCTCCCTCTCCCTCTCCACATTTTAAGTGTCTTTTTCCATTTTCACCACTTGGATTATTTATTTATCTTATTTTTTTTTTTTTTAACG